GGATGAGGTCTTCGGTGAGCTGGCCAATGTGGAGCAGGTGGCTGGTGTCAGGTGGACTCGTTTCCCTGACCTCAACAAACTTCTCAAGGGCCACCGCAAAGGGGAGCTCACAGTCTTCACAGGTGAGCGGCCGGAGCGGGGAGGGAAAGCATAGCCTGCCCCCTCTTCCCCCCCCCGTCCCCCAGTGCAGGAGGCTGCTGGACTTCCTCAGGGACCAGCTGGCTCCCGTTGAAAATAGCTAGTGCGGTGCTGCCTTGGCAATGCTCCTGCTACTCCAGGAGCGAGCAGGAGATGACAGACTCTCTGCTGAAGTTGTTGGGCCCCTTGTCCTGTACAAATGATTTGAATCACCAGGGCAGAAGGGGCCTTGGGAGTCAAGTAATCCCACCCCCAGCACAGACCCAGGATGCCCTACTTTCACCCTCACCCCTCTGGCTGTGGGTTTGTGTTACAGAAAACCCCTGTTGAGTCCTAGTGAGTCCTGGTCTTCTGCAGGCTCTTCAGCAATCTCCAGTGAGGAGTCTCCCTTGCTGCGCAGGAGTGCTGCGGTGCCTTGGTTGAGGAGGGGCGGGGCGGGGCGGGGGGCACTTCTCCTCAGCTAACCTCCCCTCCCCACCCCTGTCGACAGGTCCGACGGGCAGCGGGAAGACTACCTTCATCAGTGAGTACGCACTGGACCTCTGCATGCAGGGCGTGAACACGCTGTGGGGCAGCTTTGAGATCAGCAACGTGCGCCTGGCCAAGGTGATGCTGACGCAGTTTGCAACCCAGCGCCTTGAAGAGGAGCTGGACCAGTATGACGAGTGGGCCGATCGCTTTGAGGACCTGCCGCTCTACTTCATGACCTTCCATGGCCAGCAGAGCCTCAAGTGAGGGGTGCTCAGACCCCTGTGTGTGGGTCGTTGGCTGTCATGTGCTTCCTGGGTGTGGGGAGGGGAAGGGGTTTCTGGAGCTGCCCTCAGTTCAGTTTCCTGCTATCCTGGCTGTGTCAGACTGGAGTCAGGCAGAAGGGAAGGCAAGGAAGGCACACAGACTGCTTTTGTAGATAACCTGCTAACACTTGTCCTGGGAGGTGGCTCCGGACCCTCCTTGCTGCAGTGCTTGCAGACCTGGTGTCCAGCCTGAGTGACCAATTCATACCTGGCTGTTCTTGTGCCCTTGCTGGGCGCAGAGGGATCTGTGCATGTGCAGGGGGCTTTGCAAGTTCTGAGCAACCACAGGGCTTGTGCCCAAATGCTGCAGGAGGGGTTGGACAGCCCTGGTTCAGACCTCGGCCAGGGGGAACAGATCGGTGTGAACAGCGAGTGGTCAGGGCCGTGGGTCCATGGAACTTAGTGAGGCCCCAGTCTCTGCAGCACAGGATGAAACTCCCCTTCCTAAGGGAGGGAGCTGCGCGGGTGGGACTTGGAGCCTGCCAGGCTGGTTGGCAGCAGGGGCTGAGGGGCTTGGTGTGCTCCTGCAGGGCCGTGATCGACACCATGCTGCACGCCGTGTACATGTACGACATCGTCCACATCGTCATTGACAACCTGCAGTTCATGATGGGACATGAGCAGCTCTCAGCAGACAGGTTACATCCCCGCTGCATCGCTTCCTTCCTGGGACCCGTCCTCCCTCCAGTGTCACCTTTGAACCTGGCTTGACCCCTGCTGGCTCCCACCTTTTCTGGGCATTGCCTGCGTGATGTACCCCTTGTTACCACCCCTGGTGCCGGTCCAGCCAGAGCTGAAGGATGTGTTCCCGGGGTCAGATTGTCAGCTGGCGTTGCTATGTCCTGCACCCGCCTTGCCAGCCCAGCCCCCAGCTCAGTCCTGTTCAAGGCAGGAAGGCAGGGGCTGAAGTGCAGGGGGTAACTGACTTGGGTATGGTCATACAGGAAGTCAGTGCTGGGGCCCATCCAGACCGCAGGGGCTTGGCCCTGCCTGCTGCTCTGATCACTAGGCCTGGGCTGTGGTCAACAGGCACTGGGGAGAATAGGCTTCTTCTCCAGACCACCGAGTCTTGCCTCTGCTGTGTGAAAAGGATGGGGCACAGCCTGTCCCAGCAGTCATTTGGCCACCCGCACTCCTGGGTTCTGCCCCCTGCCTGCTCTGACTGACTGTGGGAGCTCAGGTGGAAGCAGTGAACTTGTCCCTGGGGCTCTGGAGTAGGTCGGGGCCGTGATTGCCGCTGGCAATAGGGGCTGCAGGGGCTGTTCTCGGGGGGCACCCCTGGTCCACGTTCCCGGTGCTCCTGATCTGTTCCACAGCTGAGTGACTGGGTCAGGAGTGTCGTAGAGCCAGGGCTGGCACTCGGAGTCCCTGACCTTCCCCTTCCTCTTCCCTCCCACAGGCTGGCTTGTCAGGACCATGTTGTGGGCACCTTCCGCAAGTTTGCCACGGACAACTCATGCCATGTGACGCTGGTCATCCACCCTCGCAAGGAGGACAATGAGCGGGAGCTGCAGACAGCCTCCATCTTTGGCTCTGCCAAGGTAAACGAGGCTGAGGTCCTGCCCTGCCTCTGGGTCCCAGGCAGAGCCATCCATATGGGTGTGCGGGGCTGGGGGCATATCAGCCTGTGCGGGGTTGGGGGTGGTGGCGAGTGGCCAGAGTGTGGAGCCAGCGGACATGGCAGAGCCTTACGGTGCTGTCCGTGGCCCCCTCCCCGGGACAGCCCTGGGCATGGGACCTGCTGGGTGTGGAAGAGCCCTGCTGTGCCCCTTGGAACAGGTGCCCAGGAGGCAAAGCTCCTGTCCTTCCCTGCAGCCGCTTCTGGGGTGGAATATGCCCTCAACAGCCCCTAATAACACCAAGGTTGTGACCCATGGGGTAGGTCCCACTGGTGAATAGATGCAGAGGCAGTCAGCAGGAGATGGGGAAGCCCCGGTCAGGCACAGACACCTCCACACGCTTCGTTCTGGGTCTTCAGAGGTCTGGTGCCCTCTCTCCCAAGGCCCTGGTCCCAGCTCTGAAGGAGTGAACTGCGTCCATCCTCCTTGTAGGGGCCAGTACATTTGGGGTGGGGTGGGACGACAACTTGCTTCCTGCCTGCTGCCTGGGTGGTTTTATGAGGGGCTCTTTTTAAGGGCATGTTCCACTCCAGAAGCAACGGCATTCCCGTGATGCAGCAGGTGGCTGGAGCTTGGTCAGCATGGGGAGGGTTCGTCAGGTTCACAGAACCTGTAGGGTGCGACCCCACAGTCCCCAGTCAGCTCCCCATTTGTCTATCTCACCCCCAGGCCAGCCAGGAGGCCGACAATGTGCTGATCCTCCAGGACCGGAAGCTGAGGTCGGGGCCGGGCAAGCGGTACTTGCAGGTGTCCAAGAACCGCTTTGATGGTGACGTGGGCATCTTCCCACTGGACTTCAGCAAGACTTCCCTCACCTTCTCGGGCCTTACCAAGGGCAAGGGCAAGGCCAAGCTCAAGAAGGTGAAGGTTGAGAAGGCAGTGGCGCCCAAGGTGACGGCGCCCAAGGTGACGGCGCCCAAGGTGACGGCACCCAAGGAGCCGGCGCCCAAGGTGATGGTGCCCAAGGAGGTGGCGCCCAAGGGCAGTGGGTCCTCCAAGGACCCATGAGCCTGGCTTCTTGGGCATCATCCTTGCCTCAGCACCGTGCTCACGCCAGCCTGTTCAGGCTGGAGGGGAGAGGAGTGTTGCACCTCGTGTTGTGACTTTGTGTCAAGGCAGCCCATTACCAGGGCTCTGCTGTGTCTTGGGGCTGCGGCCTGGGCTCCCACCAATCGCAGCCCCCTTGGCTCTCAGGAGGAGAAGCCAGCCAGGACTGGGGACGGAGCTGAGACCTGGAGTGTGGTGGGGGAGACCCATTGCTGATGCCCCCTCTGGAGGTGGGCCCCAGAGAGCCGCGTGCCAGATGTGGGGATGGAGACAGGACATTTCTCCCATTCCCCAGGACTTTGACTGAATGCTGACTGGGGTGCAAGCAGCTATTGGCGCGGGGGGAAACAGATCCATCCCCCCGGCAGCGCTGCTCTCCTGGTGTCCGGGTCGGCCTGGCGCAGGGACATTTCTGCTCACCTCTTGTGGACACGGTGTCACAAAGGTGCTGCCTTGTTGGGCACCTTCTCTCCCTTGCCTCCAGGAGGGGAAGAGCAGTGGGAGGCTGGGGCTGGGGAGCACTGGCAGAGCTGCCTTTGCCGGGCTATGAATGCCTCTTCTTCACACCTCAGGGCTGCCTCACCATGCCAGGCACCATCAACTCGGGACTGGTTTCCAGGGGGGTGCACACGGGAGCCTGTAGGCTCAGATGGTTGTTACAGGAATGACTGTGCCTTCCACCCTGTGGTGGTTTGGGAGCACCTGCGGACTGGGAGAGGAGGGAATTCACCAGCAGTCCAGGAGGGGCGAATTCACCAGCAATCGGACACTGCCTGCGCTGCGGGCTCCATCCTTGCCTTGCATCCACAGATAGGGAAGAGCCCCCAGCTGCTCCAGGGCAGGGGGCTTCTTGCTCCCCCAGCCAGAGACGGGGTTTGTCCAGCCACATTCACCAGGGCTGTGGGCAGCCCTCCTGTGATCTGTCAGCTCCCCATGCTCAGGAAAAACTGCCAGGAAAACCAAGTGCCTCTGTGTGTTGTTCTCAAAGGGGCGGGGATGGTCCTGGGTTTCACCCCATGGCCCGCAGTCAAGGCGTGTTGTCACGGGGTCGCAGCACAGCCAGGGCCAGCACTGCGGTCACTCAGCCCCAGCCCAGGGCGCAGCCCTGGTTCCTGTTCCTTTGGTGTGACAGGCCTGGGGAGGCAGGTGCTACAGCTCGTTTGGGCGGTTGGGGGGGTCCGGGAGCAGCCCCATGCTGGTCGGCCCAGGCAGGCATCACAGAGGCCCCGTCTGCAGGTCTGAACTCTACTTGGGTAGATCAGTAGCATGAAGAAGCAGCTTGAGTTTTGTGCCCTGCCCAGGGGAGAGATGACCCAGAGCAGCGAGGCTTGGGGTGCCTGGCTTTGGATTGGGTGACTATTGCCTTCATTCACAATTTCTGTTGACTTCTGGGGTTTGCTCCAAGTCCTTCCCACAGGCAGGAGCCCCAGGTGCCACCAAGCGGGGGGGATTAGTAGATATGCTGGAGGGTAGGGCTAGGATTCAGTGGGACCTCGACAAACTGGAAGGTTGGACCAAGAGAAATCCCATGGGGTTCAACAAGGACAAATGCAAAGTCCTGCACTGAAGAGGGAGTGATCCCTTGCACCGGTGCAGGCTGGGGGGGACGGTCTGGGCAGCAGCTCTGCAGAAAAGGACCTGGGGGGACAGGAGACAAGAAGCTGAACAGGAGCCAGCAGCGCCCTTGGTGCCAAGAAGGCTACTGGCATCCTGGGCTGCATCGGTAGGAGTGTTGCCAGCGGATGGAGGGATGTGATTTTTTTCCCCTCTATTCAGCACTGGGGAGGCCACATCTGGAGTCCTGTGTCCAGCTGTGGGCCCCCACTACAGAAAGGATGTGGACATGTTGGAAAGAGTCCAGTGGAGGGCTGTGAAAATGTTTGGATACTGGGGGACAGGACTGGTGAGGAGAGGCTGAGGGACCTGGGCTAATTCAATCTGGAGAAGGGAAGATCAGAGGGGGATTGAATAGCAGCCTTCACCTCCTTGCAGGGGGGCTGCAAACAGGATGGAGCTGGACTGGTCTCCATGGGGGCAGATAGAGGACGAGCAATGGGCTCAAGCTGCAGCAAGGGAAGTTGAGGTTGGATATTAGGAAAAACTTTCTCATGAGGGTGGTGAAGCCCTGGAAACGGATGTGGTGCAGTCTCCATCCTTGGAGGTATTTAAGAAGTGGGTAGACAAAGCCTTGTCTGGGATGATGTAGCTGGGGCTGGTCCTGTTTGGAGCAGGAGGTTGGACTAGATGTGACCCCCGTCCAACCCCAGTTTGACCTGGCGCAGGCACTAGATGCTGTGGTCCTACGCCGGGTGGATGCGGTGGGTGTTCTCGCACACAGCTCTGAGCCCCAGAGCTGTTGGGATGCTGCGTGCTCTGGGGCTGAGCCTCAGCATCTCCCAATGCCCAGCAGCAGAGGCTCAGCCACCTCCTGCTCTTGCCCCACCAGCTCTGTGTCACTCTGGGGCACGTCACCTGTGATCAGCATCCAGAGCGGTGGGCAGCAATGCGACTGCCTTTTAGGCCTGGATCTCGGTGTCCTCCTGGAGGTGGCGGTGAATGAAGATGTGCTGAAGCAGCTTGAGGTCTCACTAGAGGTGGCTACTGGGGTTGGGGAGGTCCTTGACCACCTCCAGGGTCTTTCCCTCCATGGTAAATTGGGGAGGGGGTCACACATGGCCTGGGGCAGCCCGATCGAGTGCTGTAGTCTCTGTGCTGAGGGAGACGCCCAGAGCTGAGCAGGCTTCTCCAAAAAGGACCAGAGCAGTCTGGAGATTTCCTTCATCTGCGCGTGTCATTCACTGGTGGGACACCTCGCTGCAGGAGGTGGCAGAGAGCAGAGCCAGGTCAACAAGACCGGATAGACTCGAGCAGGATCCATCTATCGATGACTGTTCAGCAGGATGGTCCCTTTGGCCTCTAGATCTGTAACGGTGGGTGCCAGGGGCTACCGATCACGTAGAGATCCGGTCTTATGCTCCCCCACCGCTGTGGAGGACGGGGCTGGATGGACCGTGGGTCATGGTCTTACATCCCCGCACCTGCTGCAGGAGGCGAAGCAGCATCCCAGCCATTTCCTGGATGGAGTCGCAGGCCTGAGCTGGTGGGGAGCTGGTTTAGTTTGGCTCGTGTCCCCGGGCACCAAATGTGCCGGAGGGAGGATGCGGAGGTTGCCCGTGCTGTGATCCCTCCCACCCAGATGTCTGGGGCTGCCTAGAGCTGTGGTCTCAGGCCCCTGGGAGAGACTTGAGCCCCTGGGGGAAGGCCGGCTCTCTGTCTCCGCTCCTTTTTGGCCAGCCAAAAAAGACCAGAGTCGCTGGCCTGGTGCAAAGGGCCGCACTGGTCTGTTCTGCTGAGTCTGTGCCCATTTTGCAGATGAGGAAACTGAGGCCCATGTCACAGAGCAGAGAAACCCGAGGGCAGGAGGTGCCCGGCTTCTGGTGCGAGGGAAGGGGAGGAGGAGGAGGCGGAGGCGGGCCGTGGGGAGGAGCCGGGGCCGGAGCGGCGGCTGGAGGAGGA